TATTTCTCATATTTATAATATGAGAAATAAGAAATAATATGTTGCAGAGCACTGAAGAGGTTAACCAGCAGGAGGACGGTAGCTGATCTGCCTGTCCTGTTTTCTCCAAGTTACTGGTGTTGGGACAGGACCTAGAAATCCCAGCTGATATATTCAGGCATCGAGTGAAAACCATGCCCTGTCCTGAAAAGCTGACCAAATAAGTTCCTACAGGGCTGCCAAGCGCAATCTCTGTTTCCTATTGACTTCTGCCTGCACTGGGTTCGCGTTGTGTGTTCGACTGCAGGCTGAGGCACTTTTGTGTCTCTCAAAAGAAATGGTATCTGGAAAACAAGCTGGTTTTCCTGTTGTGGATTTGGATGAAGGAGATGATACGAGTGTGTACGATTTCAATCCGCAAGAAAACACGGTTGCTGGACTTCAGGACACAAAGGGGAAAATGCTTTTGCAGCCTTTGAGTCTGAAGAAAACTGAAGAAAGCTAAAAATAATGGTAACTTACCCAAAGCAAACACTTGTGGCCAAGAGGATGCCTAAGCCTGGGGCAGAGTCGCTTTGGGAATGGTTGTTTTCTGGTCGTGGAAGGAGTAGTTTACCAGAAAAATGCACATTTTGCACATGTAGCATTATTTTGAAACCGGGGCTGGAAACTCTGAAGAAACAAAGACGTTTATGCCCGTGATTTGGCTTAATTGCATTTTATCGTCTCTTTTCAAGGTGGATCATTTGGACAAAAACGGTCAGTGCGCTCTGGTTCACGCTGCTCTCAGAGGACACTTGGAGGTGGTGAAGTTCTTGATCCAATGTGACTGGACCATGGCTGGGCAACAGCAGGGAGTGTTTAAGAAGAGCCACGCCATCCAGCAGGCACTGATCGCTGCGGCCAGCATGGGTTACACTGAGGTAAGACCTACCAGCACATCATTTTCTCTGCAGGCTGGGAAACCAAGGGTTGACTATGTTTCCTAGCCAAAACATTGACCAAAGAGGGTCTTGGAGGTGGAGTCGGTAGCTCTGTCCTACTCTTCCTCCCCTTCCCATCCCAGGCAGCGGGGTTCACAGATCCCTTGGCAAACCCTGTGGTCTGGGCAGGCGTCCAAGAGAGGAAGCATAACAAGCCTTTAAGTTGTTGGAATAAACCTTTAAGCAAGGGTGGATAAACTGTTACTTACGCCGCTCCTCCAGTGCTGTTAGGAGAGTGTGAGACCACGTAGGTTTGGACCGTGTGTTGGGGGAGAGAAGAGCTGAAGACCTTGTTCCTATCATACCGATAAAGATTTGTGATGTGGAAAATGATGTGTGTTTCCTTATCGAGAAGCAGTCTTTGAGGATTTTTGAATTGGTTGATTTCTTTGCTAAATTGAGCTCCTCTCATTTACTGGAGTTTTGATTTTGCTTTTGTTAAGCATAATCCATGAAAACATAGGTAATGTGCTCAGATCAGAGGAGCTAATTAAAGAAAGCTGGGAAATTCTTATTAGCTAAGTGACTGTGAGTTGAACCAATTAGAAGCAGATGTGACTTCAAAACCCTAAAGATCTGCGTGCTGAGGACATAATTTGTAACAGGGCACAGAACTTTTTAAATGGGAATTTCCCCCCAGATAATACTGGTCACCTTTATAATGCATAGAAAGGAGTTTTGGAATTGTTTAATATTTCTGTTGTACCATAAAACATACATGGCTTCTTACAGAAAATACTCCAAATCCCTGTTTTGAGGTGCTTGCAGTCATAGGAGATGCAAGCTGATGATTACTTTGCTGTTTTTCTCCGACTTTGGTGATAAAACAAATACTTAGCATGTTTATAAAGTGATCTTGATCCCTGGTGGAGCCACACTGGAGTCCTTGCTGTGATTATACCCTAGCGTACCCATACCAGACTGAGCTTTACGCTTTAGTCAGGCAACAGGAGGTCCACTAAGCAGTACAGCAGCCGGCTGGGAGGTCAGCCGAGTGCACGGGGGGGTTGTTACACCAAGCTCACACTCTCCCATCGAGGCAGCATCATACACACAAGGCATCTACTGTGGAAGGACCACGAGCATCACTTCAACAGTGTCTTTCACATAGGCACTCTCCCGGGTTTCCTGCTCCCCCCATGCTGCTGTCATTCCCCATGTCCCATTTAGCACTAGAGCATCACTGGCAGGACACGGGAAACGGCACTTGTCACCGAAATCCCTGCTCCCCTGCGCTGGTGCCTCTCAGTCTGTGCCCACAGGCAGCTGCAGGCAGCGGAGCAGGCACGGCTTCCTCCCAGGTACTCAGAAAAGGCTTCTTGTAGCCTGGACCCCAGCAGGTAATTGTTTCTCCTAGAAAGAGAAAAATGGTTTTGTCCTGCAGTCACTAAAGTAAAATCTCCATTTTCTTCTTAGCTTCTTGCTTTCTCGCATCGTATGATCCAAACACTGAAATTTTCTGCCAGTTTTCAGTCAATTAAGTCTTTTAATTTACCCTTTTAAGAAGTTAATTTGCTTCTCTGGGGTTTCAAGCATCCACAGCTGGAAGAAAAACATAGTGGAAGTCTTTTTAACAGCCTGCTTAAAACCAGTATTTGCTAGAAAGGAGCTAATAGTTTCTAGAAGTAACTTCATCTTGGCTGGAGCTTGAGTTAATGGAGAGGCTAACGATTATAATTGCACCATTACATCATTTGTCCGTGACTCAATTTCCCCAGCAGTAAAAGGGGATGATCACACCCATTGCACCCCACCAGGTGAGAGTTGGTACAGACGGACACACCGCTGTTTCCTCGCCGCTCACGGCAGCTGTAGCTGCAAACGAAGGCGCATCCGCTGCCCACGCCGGGTCGTCTGTAGCAGGACAGACACAGTTATAAGGAACTGGCACTACAAAGGCTCATCATGTGCGGTCGTATCAAGACACTTGGGTGGGTTTTTTTCGCTTGTACAGGGCAGCAGGTTCAGTGATTGATCTCTGGAAGAATATTTACTTGAGCTCAGGGTGCCAGGCAGAGACTGTTCCTTTTCCTCTGTGTATTCAGAGCAGCTCATGTTAAGATGTCAGCAGTTTATATATAACGCATCCAGGTTCGTGAGCTGACATGTCATTTTGTTTTAGATTGTCTCCTACCTGCTCGATCTTCCAGAAAAAGACGAAGAGGAGGTGGAGCGAGCACAAATCAACAGCTTTGACAGCCTTTGGGGAGAGACAGGTGATTTCTGTAGATGCTGTAGCTTCTTCTTGCATGTCTCTGTTTGTATTTATGGGCTCTCAGTCACCTGATGCATCCCTGATCCCTGGCATTGTCTTGATGAAGGGAGAAGGATCAGTTCCTCTGATTTGATTTCAGGTGATTTACAGGTGCCAGGATGGAGCTTGCACTCAGCTTAAGTCAAACAGAGAAGCTTTGCTTTTGAAAATCCTGAGCTTCTGCAGCTCCTGGCACTTTGCAGGAGCGTGCAGGCATGCAGCATCTCTGACAACCGGACCACTAATTTCACTGAAACATCTCACGTTAAGTGAGATGGACACAAAATTCTGCTCTTTCTCTCTTGATATTTGGCATATTTATCGAAAGCATCTCCCTGTTCCTCTCTCCCCTTCCCTGTTACGTGCAGCACCATGACTGTTAAATTATCCGTTGATTTTCTGAAAACTTCTCATTGTTTAACACCTGGTAATTAAACAAATGTCCTTTTGTGCAATACTGTATTTTTGTATTATGGTTATAATACAGAAGCCCTACTTTCCTAATTTCTACCAAAACAAAAGCAGCCATTCACCCTTTCCACTTCACACATGTGAATCACACTATCATCTCCGTTTCTTGAGATACTCAAACTTGGAGTTGTTAGCTTTTAACTCCAATGACCTCATAAATATTATCCACTGTCTTTTGTACCCAACTCACTAATCGACTTGCATCACTGGTAATGTTCCTGTCAAGTTAATACACCAAGGTAATGTTCCTGTCTGGGTAATGGACCACTGATTTTGATTCTGTCAGCTTTGTTTAAAAATGACAGGATCCAAGGGTACAGACGGTGGCTGGCGTCTTTGGTAGCTTGGTCTTTGGTCAGGTCATTTCTGGTTAGATGGCGGCGGAGGGGGAAGCAGGGTTATATTTTGAGCTGTTTTGTACACCGTACCTTTGAAAATGTAGCCTTATGAGAGCCTTCTAATGAATGGAGTCTATCAGAAAGTATTGCCCCTGAGCTTTAAAGGACAAAGATAGAGGGGTGAGTTGTCCCAGCAAGGAGCCTGGCGGGTGGCCGGGCTGCTCTGGGCCGCTCGCGGGGCATTAGGGAAGGAGTCAGCTCCTGCACCCGCAGGGACGTAACTGGGTAGCAAGGGCATTGTGCCATGATTAGCGAAAATAAGGGCAACATATACAAATAAGCAATTTAACAGCGCCCCTAGGGTGTCACGGGAGAAGAAGGAAATTGGATATGGAATTAGCCAAATGAAATGACTGAGCGTTGGTAATAGGACAACGGCTTTGCTGCCAGTGAGCTCACAGTTTGAAGTGGTGACCAGGCCAGAGACAGCTCATCCAAAATGTTCTCTGGTGTTTGGGTCCTGAGGACTGTCTTGTAAATAAGATGGTGGTCCAGATGCCTTCAGAGTTTGATCAAAAGCCACTAAGATGTCTCCCTGCAAAGTAACCTCATGGGCAGCATCAGGCACTACAGATAAGCTCCTTGAGTTAAGATGGTCCTGGGTTGTCTGGATGAATCTGGCAAAGCCTGGTATAAAGCCATAGGCGTTTGCTGAACTGGTGCCTAACCCTGCCCGTCCCTGGAGCTCTGCCTTTGCAGGTCACACCATCCTGCTCTCTCCTGCTCAGCCGTGCTCTCCGGTCTGAAAGCTGAGCACCGCACTCTTCTCCCTGACAACGTCCAGCTCTTCTCTTTCCTCTTTTCCTTGTGTCCTGGGCAGCTCTGCTGTTCCGAGCCTGCCCGTTGCCTCGAGGACTCTTCAGCAGAAGCCTTTTCCATCTCTGTTGTCCCCCTTGCCATACCTCTCCCCCCAGCAATGCCAAAAGCTGGACTCACGCAGATATCGGGGAGTTTCTGCATCTGAGAGGGATTTCTGAGTAACTGGGATAGTTGGGAATGTGGATTTGTGATTCACAATCGCACACAAATTGAGGAGCCATCGCAAAGGAATACCCATTTATCCCATTAAAATTGGTGGTAGGTAAGATGGGAAAATGAGCAAAAACAAGCCAACCACCAAATTCAGCAGTCTTTTGTCCTGTCACAGGCAGGACAAGTTTATATGGATCTCCAGGCTCCCTTTCACATTGTTGTAGTATTATTATTTTCCCAAAAGTAAATAGCGAGTTTGATAAATTTGAAGAGAAATGCTGGTTTCCACCTAAAAATAGCAATCTGCTCTAAAAATCTGAATCATGTCTTGTCTGTTTTTTGATACTTGTTGCTCGTGTGTCTAATCTTCCGCGGAGCAGAGCTGACTGCCTGGCTTAGTGCTATCAGCCTGATATCATCCAAATGGCAGTGCCAAGTTACGTCATAAGTTTAGAAATTGCTGACAGCACACTATAGCCAACTCCAGATGGAATATTTCCCCCTGGGACAAGACTAATATCAAAACCCAGCACAAAAGTATCTGAGTCACTTGTAATAACTCCATCAGAGTTTTGGAGGTGCAAAGAACGACTCCATCAAACTGCATTTGTCCTGCTGCCAGGCTGTGAAACAGATACACGTGCTGTATAGGAGCAATTTAATGATTCCTTCTCCAGATAAAGTTGGTTTTGCTCTAAGAAAACAGACATGCTCTGCACAAGAGCAGAGGCAGAATGTGCCGTTGCAGATCCCTGGTTTTGGAAACTGTGGCTTGTCTGACGTTGCTCGCTGACAGAGGGGGGCACGTCCACACCTGAAACTTGTCTCAGGTCTTGTTTGAGCCGTGTTTTGAGAAATGCAGCAACTGTTTTATGGCATTGATGTCAAGACTTTGTTATTGCACGGTGAGTTGTTCTCCTGGCACTACGTCCTCACGGAAAAGCTGCAAAATGAACGTTCCTGTTTTCCAGCCCAGGATCCTGGTCGCTGCTCCTTGGCTGGGCTTGGTGGACTCACCTTGTTCATGCTGGGCCACAGGAGCTCTCTGGTAGACAGTAAAACTTCAAACAAAACCATTTCCATTTCTCTCATTTCCTCTCATCACCTTTCCTTGGCTTTTCGAATCTCCTTTCAACACACAGGCACAGCCTTACCTTGTGTTGTGGGTTTTTTGGAGACTAGTGGCTGTTGTAAGGTTGATAAGTCCATCTAAGGAGTACTAAAAGGCTTAAATAAGCAGGTACTTCTAGAATTTTTCCTGAAGTAGTTTAATTGAGCTTTTGGGCTTGGACAGTTGGACCAGCCACAAGGTAGTGCTCTGGGCTTGAGGTGACCAGCAGTGGACCTGGAGCTTGGGGATGTCAAAAGCCGCTTTGGTTAGAAGGCTGGAGATAGAGGGGTGAGGCACCTGTATTCAGAGCAGCAGCAGACTGTCCAGCTCGTTGCAGTTGGAGGGACCACAGGGGGTTATCTAGTCCAACCTTCTGTTCAAAGCACAGGCACGGATGAAGTCTGGGTGTACCTTAGTGAGTTGGTCTCCTAGGGTCCAGCTGGATTGAGCTCCTTTCGTCCCTCGGAGAGTTTCTCCGTTTCTGAGGATAGATGCTTAGATGTCTGTGCATTATACAAGATGACCTCGGGTAGGTTTCTCTCAGCAGCAGGCAGCAAATCCAGGTCATCAGTGTGGAACCTTCTGAAGCAGCAAGATCTGACTGCTCAGTAGCACAGAAGCTTTTGAGCTTCCCTTGAGTTGGAGCTGCAGAGGACAGGCTGGAGCTACATACCCGCACCAGTTGCTTTGACCTGAGGAACAGAGTAGCAAAAAGACATGTCAATCCAAGTAGAGTGGATTGCAAGGCAGAGTGGAGAAGGGTATGGCCATGGATCAAATCATCCTGTTTCAGTAAAGTCTTTTCCAAAGAACATTTCATGGTGAACACCAAACACTTAGGTGATTTACAGGATTTTCATTGTTGCAAACATAAGTCATTTTGACGTGAAATACCTCAAATTAACCTTCAACATTTCAAGTGCAGGCAGGTTTAGAAATAGAACACAAAAGCCCTGCATACCGATCCCTCTGCCGTGCACATTACACACAGTCCTTCTTCTATATTTGTAGCTTACGTTTAAAACCCACATGGATCTGATTATAGATTTTGCAGTATGTTCTACTTGTGGCAGCGAGATGATTTTTCTTTTAACTCTTGCTGTCTCTCAACCCCAAGAGAAGAAAACTCAACCGTAATGTGGAACAGAATAGAGAATTAATTAAATCCCCCAACATTAACAGTGTTGCAGTTGGAAACCCATCAACACCTTGTAATCAGCCATCCCACAGAAATGTACTTCAAAGAAAAAACAAGCTACGTCAGTTCGAAATAGACTCCCACCTTCTGCTCAAACTCCTTCTAGAAGCAGCAGAGCATTGAGCTGGAGGAGCTGTGCTGAAGTGCACAGAAAGTTAGGGAGAGGAGGGAGGAACCGAAAAGTCTAAAATTAATACCGAAGACGAGTCAAAGGCAGGTCCTGCACTTGGAACTATTTTCAGATTGAATGTGTCTTTTCTAACCCAACCATGCTTTCTGAGTTAAGAGAGCACATTTTGTCAGGTAAAGAGCTGTCAGGTGTTACTTCTACACACCTGTAGTATTGTGAGCATCTGTAATACTGGAAATGAGAGATAATTTTGGTTTTGCACAGACACTTGCTGGTAGGATCAGTCCTGGCCAAAAACAAAGCCCAGAATTAGCGTTTTTCTTGGAGAACGGGTGAACATATTCATACCATTTTTGCTTTCCAATTGTTTCCCTGGTTTCAAAGATCTACAGGCTAAAGTGGGATATTAAAAATAAAAGTCCTCCATCTGAATTACGCTGCTCTGTGCTTGTTTGGACAAAGAAAAGCCCCAAATCTGACTGCCATCCAGCGGCTGGCAGTGATCTGTCAGTGCCTCCAGCTTGATCCCTCACTTGCTCTCTTGTAGTCATGGTGGAATAAGTCAAGGACAGGTTGCAGAAGGTCTTACCCAGACAGCACGTACCTGAAGACCTGTGTTTTCTCTGGACATTGTGCCCTTTTCTAAGACACACTCAGTCTTGCAGCCTGTGGCTTTTGCAGTAGGGAAACCTGCAGGAGGCACAGGGGGAAACGGTGAAGGTTTCCTGTGACAAGACTCTGTGTTTCTTCGCATCTTGAACCTCAGTCACACGTGCCTGTAGATTATTTTATGCTTATTGCGGTTCTCATCCGGTTTCACTGCAACTTGCAGAAAATAATAAAAGCTGATTGTCCCAGTCAGCCTCTTCCCATAACGTTACGAGATCTTTTCATGGAAGAGTTGACCTTTGAAGTAAACTAAAATGACAAGTAAGAGCTAGAACTGTACTGATCCAACCCATTTTCTTTGTTCATTTTGCCTGGCATGAAATACATTTGGCATTTCAGGCACCACCGCTTCGGTATCCAGCAGAAAGACCTACCTCCGGATAGGAAAAAACTCTGGGGCGCTGTGGCTCGTGCCCTTCACTGCTTTTCTCTCTCCTCCAGCTCTGACGGCGGCGGCCGGGCGTGGGAAGCTGGAGGTCTGCCGGCTCCTCCTGGAGCAGGGCGCCGCGGTGGCGCAGCCCAACCGCCGCGGGGTCGTTCCGCTCTTCAGCGCCGTGAGACAGGGCCACTGGCAGGGGAGCGGGTTCCTCGCGCCACCGGGATGGCCTGAAAGGTAGGGTCAGGCCATCCCTTCCATCTTGCTGAAATATGGGTGGACTCCCAACTCTTTTGGGGAATGATCGGAGTGAGAAGAAGTGATATTGATGCTTCAAACACCCCGAGCTCTTGCTGGCTGCAGACAGCTTTTGCTTAAGTGCTGCGTTATCTCACCATTTGGGAAGCAAATGGGATGCTTTTGACTTAAAAGGTCATTTTTCCTGTCCTTATACCTCCGTTGCTTCTCCTATGCCCTAATCTTGCAGCAGTAATCCCAGAGGGCACCATGCCTTGGGGGGTGAGGTTTCAAGACATGGGGACCGCTCTGCTCTTCCTTGGCTCTGGTTTCTTCCCAGCTGGGTCTCTACGTACGACGTGTGTTCCCAGCTGGGTCTCTACATACAACATGTGTTCTCGCTTTGTGTGTTGCAGATTGTAGATCTCTTACTCACGCACGGCGCTGATGTGAACATGGCAGACAAGCAGGGGCGGACGCCGCTGATGATGGCTGCATCTGAGGGACATCTGGGCACGGTGGAGTTTCTGCTTGCGCAAGGTTAGAGCACGTGCTTGGAATTGTGTTGGAGACCGGCCACGGCGAGTCCCACTGCACTGTCTCCTGCACAGCTGGAGTTTGTAATGTCGGGGTGGGGATTGTAATCCCATTGCTGGATCAGATGGTGGGAGAGGTTCTCAGCACCATATCCAGCTTGTTGAAGAGCAAGACTAGAATAGCCGTAGCGTTAATCTTGACTATCCGTTTTGTTGTCTCTGGTGCTCACAGCCTCAAAACCACGCAGTTGAGTTAGAAAATAAAATAACATATCACAGGTGCTTTGAGCATTGAGTTAAGAATATGCCCTTGAACCATGCTTGGAGCTTTCCCCTTAGATAAAAAAAAATCAACAAGCAATGTGATTGAACCGTCAACACCGCCATGGAACAGGCAAGTAAGACTCAACCACGGGACCAGAGTTTGGGACATGTTTTAACACTTCCATTTTTAGTGCTAGTATTGTTGCCCATGTTTTTGACACCAACATCAGCAGGAGGGTAAGGCCCCGACACAGGCAAGGATTTGGTGTATTTGTTGAAAATAAAACAGAATTGTTTTGAAGATAGTCTGCTCTTCAGCTTTGCGCTCACAGATTCACTTTGCTCAGTACTTTCAGTGTCTAATAACTCTCCTTCACTAGGAGTTACTCAGTCAACAGGAACATGTTTCAGTTTTACTTATTTCTGCTGTACATGTTTGAGGTGAGTCAGAACAACACACTGCCTGCAACCTGTGTGAACACGATTATTTCTTATTTCTGTAGTTCCTTAGAGACTTCTTTTTTGTTTGTTTGTTTGACAAATAGCCAACGTTTGTTTGGTTTGTTTGGGTAATTTTCCATTAATTTTTTGGCTAGAAATAGCATTTAATTCTTGTATTGTTATTTGATATTTTTATTTCAGGTAAGATCCCTCTTTGGGAAGGGATATTTTCTTCATATCGTAAGTGACTGTGTCTGACCTCTTAGCCAAAACGTGAGACACTTGAACATTTTACATAGTAGTTGTAAGAATATTTTTTCACTGCAAAATTGCCGGGCTTCCAAGAACAAGTTTCTCATTGCCTGTCTGTCTGTCCTGAGCCACAGGCCCATGGGATCGTTGCTGTTCGGTGCTGTAACCTGCGTAGGAATGTGACAGAGATCAGTTTGAGGCATGAGTTTCTTATGAATTAATTCAATTAATTCTTTTTTGATGTTCTATTTTCTTAAAAATTTCAAATTAACACTCTCCACATGTTTGAGTTGTACTGTGGCCCCTTTTGCAGCTTGACTGTGTCTGTGTAAAAGGCTTAAAATAAGCGATTTTTATTTGCCAAACTTGAGAACTGTGCCTGTCGCTTAAGACTGGTTCAGTGGACCATGAAAATACCAGATAATCCGATCCTGGCTATGAGATCGCCAGCAAATGAGCATAATGTTTCCCTGGCTCCTTGGACACTGAGAGCCCAAGAAGTCAAAAATACGAAAATCTTTTTTACTTTAAAAGGTCTGTTCTTCTAAATAGCTTAATAAACTCCACTAAATGTGCTATAACACATGGTCCTGAAAAGTTAGCTCAAGCTTGGGCAGAGTACAATGATATATGGTGTATTTTAATTAAAGTGGCTTTGTCAATCCTGTTCAATGTTTCATTAAAATCAAAGTGTGTGAATCATAAGCCATAAGCATTAATTAGTGTGTTGCAAAGCAAATCTCATTTGACTGTACTTGATTAACAGTCAGCATTTGTAAACACTTTTTATTAACAGAGTTGCAGTCATCAATCAATTTGAAATCCAAATTTTTAGAGTTACCTACTGCTCTCGCTAACACCCAGAAGTAATGGACCTGTGAACGGTGAATTAAACTTTCCTGGTAGTAGCTCTGCTAAAGCTGATATTTATATAGATCTGTGTTACACAAAGCAAAATAATTCTTGATGCCCATTCCGTTCGGAGATTCTGAATCCAGTTTTCCTGCAAAAATCAATCCATTGATGTTTTTGCTTTACCTTGGGGTAAATGGTACGTATGGGTGCTGCTCCTCGCTGTCTGTCTTGTGCCTCTGACGCACAATGCCGAGCCTCGTCCCTGCGGGGGGGTGACCCTGCCTGGGCACAACCACCTTCTGTACGGAAAGGATCCGACCATCCTGGCCACTCCCTGCTTCTTTTTGGTGCTCCAACAGTGTCAATAGTTTTTTTTTCTCTAGCTGCCTCGTTGCTGTGTGCCTGCTGGATAACATATTAAATCATAAACTCTTGCATTTAGCCAGTTAATTTTTTTAGGGAAGGAGCAGCCCAGCCCTTCTCAGAAGCAAGCTGGGTTTACCCAGACAAAATCTTTCCCACTGCGGCAGGGATCGGTCCCATGAGGTCACCTTAAGCCACTTGCCCTCCAAACCATCAATTTGTTTCACGTCTGACTGCCTTAATGCTACGTAGGTCAGAGATGCCTGAAGGAGCGAAAGATGCCTTCAGAGTCAAGCAGAGGTTCTGCTGGGAGCCACAGCTGCATCGGGAGCTCGGCGCTTCTTCGGAGATCGTGCCCAGCCTGCCTCGGAGCAGCATTTTGGCATTTCTGAAGCGGCGTGCATTGTCCGCTCACTTAGACCTTCAGCTTGCGTTGCTGCAGTGGTACCCTGAAGTCTGTGCATGTCACCCTGCGGTATGGTGTGTCTCTTCCACCGGACTGGGAAACGAGGGGGAAGGTTGAGTGATGATGAGCTTTCTCACCTGCTCCAGAAGAGTCAGAGGGAAAACACAGGAGACGACTTTGATGGTTTGATTGCAAGAAAATAGCTCATATAAATAAGAAGGAATGTAATGAGGCGTTATCCTGCTTTGCTGAGCGAAAGTTGGCCTTGGGTCAGTTGAGGATCATCTGGAGGGCTTTCGCAGAGCTTCAGAAGGATTACCGGGTGCAGTGTGGGCAACATGAGAGAAGGCTGGCAAGATGTTGGGAGTTTATGTTGTCATCCCTTAACTTGTACATTTGAGCTGCCTTGCAGCCAGCGTCCTTCCTTGGCACACCAGATTGCCCCAGCCGTCGTTTGCCACCTCCCTCGCTGGCACTCCGCGCTGCAGTTCGGAGGCATGCAGCGAGCAGGATGCTGCAGCTGTGCTGAGAGCTCTGGGCAGAGGTTTCTGAACATAGCCCCAGCAAATGTTCATGTGCTGTGCTCCTCCGCAAACAAAAAGCTGTGCAAGCTGGAACACCTATCAGTTCGCTGTCGTCTGGGCGATGTGTGCCAACCGGGGGCTATGTCAGCTGGGATGAATGGGAAGGTTCAGGAAATTCGCATGACTCTCCCACTCGCTGAGCTTTCTGGAGCCAGTGAAGATCTCACGCTGGGCCGTTTAGAGTTTACCTACAGGAGAAGAATACTGCAGCAGCAGCAACTCATCCCAGGCTGCTGGCAGGAGCATCCCGCAGGTAGCCACAATTCCTCGGAGGAGCAGAGCTGATACGAATCTCTTCTGCACGCTCGAGAGCCGGAGCCCTGCCTGTGCCATGGCAACAGGAGTTGTCTTCATGCCACGAAGAGGAGTGTTCACTTAATGCTCCTGTTCAGATCTCATATGCGTATCCATATGCCGTATGAAGCAATACTGACCCATTGGTATGGCAGCACGGTTTCTTCATCCAAGAAAATGTCAGATCCCTCTCTCCTTGGCTTCACTTGGCAGTAGTTTATCCCACAACGTTGTATTTATATTGGGTAAAGTTCAGGGAGAAATACTGCTGGAAATAGTGTCGATTTGGGTAAAGGGGAGGGGAGCGAAGAGGGAAAAATATGTGCTTGTTTAGAAGAACTGAGCTGAATTGACTTAGTTCCCCTTGGTACACCATAACCTGCTGAAACAGCAAAACGGTCTTCATCTCTGATTCACACAGGTTGGAATGGGTTTTGATTAAAAAAAAAAAACAAACAGTTAAAAAGAAAGATTGATGTCTCAGATGAGGGATGTCAAATCCACCCTGCTGCTTAGAAGGTGTTTGCCAGAAAAGCCTACAGAGCTAGGTGCGAAAAAGTTTGCAGCTTGGTGTGAATAAACTCATTTGCCACAGTTCCTGTCGGTGCATTTGAAGTTGCCATGGAGGGTGGGATCCACGGTGGGAGAAATGTTAATAAAGTAATTAATAATTATGTACATAGCTCTCTAGAAATAAGCTGTCATCACTAAGCAGATGGTTTGTTGTATCATAGTGCTCAACAACAGAGAGCTCTTAAGTGAACTGATGCTTGTTCTTTCAGGTGCCTCCATTTCTCTAATGGACAAGGAGGGCTTGACAGCCCTCAGCTGGGCTTGTCTGAAGGGACATCTCTCCGTGGTGCGTTCCCTGGTGGAGAACGGGGCTGCCACCGACCACGCGGATAAAAACGGACGCACTCCGCTGGACCTGGCGGCTTTTTACGGCGATGCAGAGGTGGTAAGTGGCCGGTAATGGATGCAGAACAAAAAGGACAGTTAGCGTAAAACCCTCAAAATAATACACCTCAGCTTGATGTAACAATAAGAATATAGTGTCCTGGCCCTCCATACATGCAGGCACTTCCATAGAGGACAACGCATGAGACTGATGAACCCTCAGACCCTATAGAGGTGGTTTTAGGCCAAGCAGTGGAGCAGAGCAAGCTTCTGCTGGTTGTACATCACCAGCAGCACGCAAAGATCTTGCCCAGGAGCAGAACTGACTGTTGGGCTTCTCGTTGCAGGTTCAGTTTCTGGTGGACCATGGGGCCATGATTGAGCACGTCGACTACAGCGGGATGCGCCCTCTCGACAGGGCAGTGGGGTGCCGCAACACCTCGGTCGTCGTCACTCTCCTGAAGAAAGGAGCAAAGATAGGTAGGGACAAGGGGACAATCCGCCGTCGGCTCTGTGCTCAGGCAGGACTCCAAGCAGTGGGGCTGGCTTCCTAGAAAATATAAGCGTCACACAGAGGCAGCCTCAGCCCCAGCTGCTGCTTCGTACTCCGAAAGCAGCCGGCGAGTCGTGACTGCCTTGTTCTCTTTATTAAAACGGGGAATATATTTTTTTGCTGTCGTATTACTTAGCAAAGTTAATCAATAAACAACTGTTTCTTTGGCAAGGTCTTTCCTCTGGTAATGCTTTTTCTATCTTTACTAGTCTGAGTCGACAAACGTACTATGTCCATGCATTGCTGTGAGCTGCTGCATTCACTTGCTCTGTGTATGCTTTCAGATCTTAGTGTTACCTGCACTGCGCCACACAGCTGCTCACGTTACGTTTTCCTGTGAAAGGGGATTTTGCTGGTGCATTGGCTTCTTTGCTGCCTGCCTCTCACAGCTGCTTTTTTCCTTTCTTTTTTTTTTTTTTCACCTTCATCCATTTTTTTTCCCCCTCTCTCCTACAACTTTTTGTTTTCTCCTTTCTTTGAAGGTTGTCAGACGTTACCGAGTCGCCCACGAGGTATATCTCATTGCTGTCAGCATCAGCTTCGATCTGATAGCTTTGTCAGCCTTGCTTTCTCCTGTTTGATTTAGCCTGCATGCGTCCCCAACACCTCTAATCTTTTAATTTATCTCACCTTCAAATAATTTTTTTAATGACTGTTGCAGAGAATAACTTGAACTCAAAAACTAACCTCCTTCCCCAAAAATGTACTGAATCTACTTATAGAATATTGTTGACTTATTCTTCACCCACACTAATGAGTTGTCCCCAGATTTTTGCCACCCCTTCCCTCCCAGTATTAGACCTTGAGATAATGACTGGCTCTGCATGGGCGGACCCCTGCGCAGAGCCAGCGTGTCCCCAGCCCAACGGACGGCTTCGGCACCAGCAGCACTTAGACATGACCTTTCCTTTGTCCTATTTTCCAACTTAATGGATTTTCTACTCTAGTATTTCACATCTTGTGAAGTTGGAAATCACAATCCACTTAAACACAAAACGCCTATCGACAGTCGAGCTGCAGATTTCCTAGTACACTTCCAGGGATTTTATTTAGAAATGCTTTTATGTAACCACTCTGATTTTTTCCTTTTAAATATGTTTTGTTTCCCCCACCCCAGCTGGTTCCACAATCAGCACTGCCCTCTTGTGGAAATGGCTCCCATCATTTCCCAGACCATCGTGGTGGTGGTGATTAGGATTAGCCTTAATGACTGCAAAGGAAAACCATTGCAATGTGGATGACGTTAATTTAAGTGCGAGAGGAATTGTCAGCTCAATCATTTGGAGCGATCTGCCCTTTGATCATGCCAAGTTGTTCTCTCCAGCAGAAATTCCCACCCCAGGATATTTTTTCCACCCAGCTTCCTACCACCCTTGCATTGTATGAGTTTTTTACCCATCATGCATCCTGTACACTACAGGTCCAGCAACATGGGCGATGGCAACCTCCAAACCAGACATCATGATCATCCTGTTGAGCAAGCTGATGGAGGAGGGAGACATGTTTTACAAGGTGAGAAGGGTGTTTTTGGAAAAATGGAACAGCTGCAGCTTGTAGCATAACTTTGTATGAGGTTTTGACTGAGCAATGCTGCTGCCTTAACCCGTGGCAAGGAAAAGCTACAGCTCGCAGCATTCCTTGTGTTGCAAACTGTTTGGTTTTGGTTAGTGGGGTTGGGGAGGGGGGATTGATTGCCCAAATCTGTAACGAAGCTGAAGCAAAGCCAAGTCTCTCCGCATTCTGGATGTGAGCCAGCACTTCATTTCCTCTTTGAAAACACCAGAACCCAAGTGTTTTACAGAGATTCGGAGCGCTGATGTCATCACATCAGATCTGGCAACGTTGTCATTACCTAGCAGGCTCACTGCTGTGGAACAAGGCAACAAGTTAGTATATCCCAGAAGAACTCATGGAAGAAACTTTTTGCAATGAAAACAGATCGTCAGGACACAGATGGCTTTATCATGTCCTTTAACCTATGGGAGACGTTCCACCATTACAGTTAGAGAGTCATTTTTTGCTGTGTGTTTATTTTAAGACGATCTTTAAAACCTGGAGATTTGCACACACACACAAAATGTGCAAGTACAACAATGAATCACTGTTAGGCTCTAAGGGTGAAGCAGAAAATATGCAAAGCTGGCATTGTAACTGGAGTTATCTGCCAGACATACATGATACAGCTGAGAAACCTGAGTCTAAAAGGTTTTAAAGCTTGCTATTCGTAGCTGCAAAATTTATGTCTGGGTCATCATGAATTGCATGCGTCCTAGATCCCATTTTGCCCTCTTTCTTTCACCCTAGCTGCCACGGCTGCCCCCCTCCAGGGCGCAGATCATTCCATCCCAAAAATAGGTGCCCAAAATAGCAAAGATGAGTCACCCATTGAAGGTGACTGTTGGCGTCCCAATAACTATAAAAGGAACCCAGTTGACAGGCTTAGATGTAGACACCTAATTTTTAGACATCCAAAGTCCAGGGAGATGAATCCCAATCTGTTTGTCCAACTTCAGAGCCACACCAGTGCCATAACATTTATCTTTGCTATTGCAGAGGCTTCTCTGAGCCCTGGGAACTCTACCCAAAGTCCCATATTTCTTATTCTTTACCCTCCCTGGTGCTTATTAAGCTTTGGGTGTAGGGTGTTCTCCAGAAACGGGTTACTGATCACCCAGCTCGAAAGACCATCCATCTAGAAACCAGATGGAGTTGTTTCGAGTTAACATAACACAATTTCTGCTGTGTTTCCCACTGTGGCGTGACAACTCTGTACGAAGTGGGAGAACTCACTTGCACAAGGCATCTGCATTTCCAGATCAGATGTTCCCTTGATCAAATGTTCTGGCTTTCCTTTCTAGAAAAGAGCTAAATAGTGAAGTCATGTTACCTTCACCACCCAAAACGTTCATGGGACTGGTGAGTGAGTTCTCTGCAGGGAAGTAAACTCAATCCAAGGATGTGTTTTGACATGTTCTCTTTCTATTAGAAAGGTAAAGTGAAAGAGGCTGCCCAGCGCTACCAGTACGCTCTGAAAAAATTCCCCAGGGAAGGGTTTGGAGAAGACCTGAAAACCTTCCGTGAGCTAAAAGTGTCGCTCCTTCTCAACCTCTCCCGATGTCGAAGGAAAATGAACGTAAGTCCCCCCACTCTTCATGGCCTTAAGCGCAAGCTGCCAGCTTTCTGCCTGTGCACAGAGACGTGTCCATCTGTAATCGTGCTTTGACCTCTGAGATCTCTCCTCTGTGTAACCTGGTTGTCCTTCACAGAGCACTGACATTTTATAATTCAGAAGAAGTAATGATTTAATATGCATTTCTGATGATTAAAAATTCATTGCTATGTTTATAGCTTTTTGAATTTTTTATTACTCCCTCTTGATGATGATGTGAATTGGGGGTGGAGGCATTTTCCAGATTTCTAGGGCAGCGGTGAGGGAGGAGCCAGGAGATATGCTCCTCTGAATACTAATTAATTTAAAATGAAGGAGCATATGCTTAGGGGGCTAGCACTTCCCCAGGGCAGTGACTCATCCAGAAACACCCCCACATACTCCCTCTCCTCCCAGAACTGCCAGATCACTGTCACTCTCCCCGCTCCAACCTAGCAGCACCTAGCGACCAACTCCTGCAGCAAGTCTGTTCTTCCAGCAGACAAGTGCCACCTCCCCCTTGATCTGCACGCAGAGACTTTCACCTCTACAACTTAAAGTCTCCATAGACTTGAAAAGTGAAATCTCCATCGAGGCCGCGAGCCAGCGAAGATTACACTGGAGGGGAAGGGATTTTTGTGACACCTTCATTTCTTTAAGCTGTGAGGGAGACAGATGAAAAGCAGTGGAAGTAAAATCTTAATGCTGGTGAACAAACAACAGTTTATAGAAAAAGTGTGAACCTTCTCTTTAAACAAGCCAACTCGCGGCTAAGCCTATGCCTTAAGTACAAGATTTTCAGTTTACTGTTAACTGGGGAATCCCAGGTTTTGTGATAGAAAATATCAGGGCGTTGTAATTGCTCCTGCAGTTTTTGCATCTATAGGTGAGACCATAAAAGGTACCTACCTCTTGATTGCATTCCCAATTTAGTCTATTAGACAGTATGTCTTCAGTAACTGCTGCTGAAGGTACAAACAAAAGTATGAGCTTCCCCAGGCAGGGTGTCCAGAGAGCAAGCTCCAGTGTAGACACCTTAGGGGAGATTAAACCTCACCCTGGGTTTTGCTAAGGTCCAGCTGGCCTTACTCACTGGCACGTGGCTGCTCAGTGCGGTCCAGGTGGCCATCGTGTGCTCAAAAACTTCATTCCTAGAAGGTGGAGTTCGATTACTGAGTTTCTGAACAAATCAGGAGTACTTTGGTGCTTTCTCCCAGAACTGCTCAGGGTCATAGCCCAAGTCAGCAATCCAGCACTGTGTTTGGCTGCAAAATGAAAGCCCCTCCACTGGGAAGAGGTCTCCTTTGCAAGTGCTCAGCTGAGCTTAGTGGTACGTGAAGCATTCGGGACAAGGCCAGGGAGGACAGTCGGCAGGGTCTGAACCGTAGCCGGTAGTCTCACGGCACTGCCGCTCGAAAGCACCCAGAGCAGTCTCCATCCCATGCTGTCACCCTCTCCCTCCCCACTCCCAAACGAGTCTCCCAAGTGAGGTGCAGGGGAGAGACAAGGAACGGTGGAATGGGTGGCAGTGGTAGGAGACCTTTGCCCGGCGAGTCTTGTTGTAGCTACCCGAGGTATTGTAGTCCCTTCCTTCATGTGCAGTTTTATTCAGCCCCTTCGAAGTATGTCAGCGTGTTGCAGAGTGGGAAGCAGAGGGCGTGGGAAAGGTTTCCTATTGCTTTCAACTATGGAAAAAAATCCTTCATGAGATTACATTCCAGCCTCTGTAAGACCAGATGTTTCCTCAAGACTGTAGGTTGTTGGAGAGGGATTGCATGCACTTGTTGGGGACACAGTCAATGAGAACGGAGCCAGTGGCACGCTGGCCTCTGGGGTGCTGACAGCATCCGGTGTTACGAGAAGGTTTTGAGTCTTTGGACATGTCATCATAGCTCTCTGGCTGTAAATGGTATTGAATCCATGTGAAACATTCCAGTACCATCAAGTTTTCCGTGGTACATGATAAAAAATGTCCATATTAAGTTTGTTTTCTTCCCAAACTGTATATATTTTTATTTCTATATTCAATTACTTATCTGCACACCTATTGTAATGACAGGATTTTGGAATGGCGGAGGAATTTGCTACTAAAGCACTGGAGCTGAAACCGAAATCTTATGAAGCTTACTATGCAAGAGCAAGGGCCAAACGCAGCAGCAGGTGAGAGGAGAGAGAGAGAAAAGTGCGAGAGGCTGGTCTCTTCAAGCCTGGCCACACCGATGTAGGCATCTACCGTGCAAAACCGTACCAGTGTCCCCATGGGAAGAAATGGCAAAGGAACATTCATTAATGAGATTACAAACCTCTCAAACTCCAAAGTAACACCCTCCCTCATTTGGTAATTTCTGGAGACAGCTGAATGCAAACATTTTGAGAGGTTCATCTTAGTTGAAATTTGTCTGAACATCTTATTACACTGGAAACCTTTACACCAAAGTTGGGTATTCTTTTTAAAAATACACTTTAGTTCAACCACAACTTGGACTCGAAGCAAAATATGACTCACGGAAGCCCTGTGGCCTGTGTTATGCAAGAGGGCAGACTCATTCATCACGGTGATCTCTTCTGGCCTTAAAATCTATGAATCTCTCTGTCCTACAGCACTTTTTGCAAGGCAGAAACTGCTGACTAGCTGTGCAGTGACGGTGCAGGCAAGCGCCCGCCGGTGAGCTTTCAGCCATAGCTTGTGCTCGGAGCACTGCAACCAGCTTCTAGAGAGCTGCAGCACTGGGATCCCTCTGCAACTCAGATGGAGCCCGGAGGATTCCCTTGTTAACCTCCCTGAAGGCTAAAAGATGTGAGATTAGATCCATTTCAAAACCGATCAATGCCATTCCTAAATGAGCAGGAGGGCTTGCTTTTGAGTTACACACCAGGGCTGGGTGCACTGTCATCTCGGTTTTAACCGGCAGGCAAAATGCCTTGCACGGCAGTGCGGAGAATCGCCAGTAGCCGGAGGTATGGCGAGTCCTCCTGTGCAAACATCGTAGCTCAGCAGACACCACCACCATTTGACCTTCCATGCTGGAGGCCATGTGTGGAACCAGGCTCCTGGCCCAGCTGATGCTGCGCTGCCTGGTCCACCGGGTCTTGCTGTGGGAGGTGAAGCTGTGACCTTCTGTTCTGCAGAGAAGTCCTGCTAGCTGAGCCACACTGACCTAATGCCTTTCCTTTAACCGTTTTCCTCTCCATTGTTTCCAAAATACTTGTAAGGAAGCGTAAGAACCGGGTTCCTTTCCAGATGATATCAGCCTCCCCACGTACAAGCATCCTTTTCTCCCCAGGTCTCTCCAGCAGAAACCGTCACCACTTTGGCTTTTCTCCTCTATTTCCCAGTTTGTGCCCAGCAGCACCCCTGAGGTCAGCACGGTCTGGGGAGCAGGAGGCTTTTCCTTCCTCCGCCTGGTTTTGAATGGCTTGTGCAAAAGCTTAGGCTGGTGTTGGGAGGTGCTGGGGAGTTTTTCTCTGTGATCATCCCCCAAGATGACAATCATGTTCAAACAGATAATTTTGCTCGAAAGCGAACAGTGTCCCTGTAAATGACAACCCCCTTCCCCAACCCCCACCTCCCTTTTACTCCTCACAGGCTGGCCTTGCCCTTGCAAAGGCTTCCCCGGGGGGCTCGCAGGCTCCCTAACGTTGCTCCGTTCCTTCATTCTGAAGAAGTTAGCCAAATCCATTGCAAAATTGGAGAGACAAGCCTTGCCTAAAGCGCTGACCCGTGGGAGCCCCTGAGCTCTGGAGCCAGCCCTGACGCTGTGTGGTCTTGGCATCAGGCAGAAGTTAAATTTTCACTGGCGTAAGCGGTTGCAACTCCGTCAAAGCTGCGCTTGTTTACAGCAGTGGTGAGCTTGGCTCTTGGTTATCGATGCTTTGGTTTCCCCTTCACTAACACAGCGGCAAAGCTCATGGTGGTGCCATGAGGAGTAATTAATTAGCCTGTAATGCATACTGCAGAGGACAGGCATCTTTGCTAGTCGGTTGTGCCATCTCAGGACTGCGTTCCCCCCTTCCCCAGAATGGCTGGCAGTGTTCTCCTTCAGTTTGGATAAAATAAATCCAAGGGAGGCACATAAGGCAGAGTATGAGAGGTGCAGCCAGCGGTAGCAATCACAAACATCTCTCTCAGTAACATGGACAAGCCACTTAACCCTCAGGAGCCTCCGAGAACGGCTCCGTTCAAATCCAGAGTAATTTCAGTTCTCGTTTCTGTCCCTTTGTCAAGCAGGCAGTTTTCAGCAGCCCTGGAGGACCTGAACGAGGCCATCAAGCTGTGTCCCAACAACCGTGAGATCCAGCGGCTGCTGATGCGGGTGGAAGAGGAGTGCAGGAAGGGGGAACGAGAACCAGCCGCCGCTCCCAGTGGAGCCTGAACCTGAAGCCCAACATGAAGAGCTGTATTCTGTGCAAGATATCTTTGAGGAGGAATACCTTGAGCAGGATGTAGAAAACGTTTCCATTGGTTTGCAGACAGAGTCCAGGCCAAACCAAGGGCTGCCCATCATCCAGAGCCCACCCCCGTCCCCAGCTCACAGGGACTCAGCCTATATTTCTGGCTCACCTCTTGGCTCTCATCAGGTCTTTGATTTCAGGTCCAATAGCTCCGTGGGTTCGCCAACCAGGCAAGGGTACCAGTCCACGTCACCTGCTCTGTCTCCAACACACCAAAACTCGCATTATAGACCCAGTCCTCCGCACACGTCCCCTGCTCACCAGGGCTCCTCTTACCGCTTCAGCCCACCTCCTGTCGGAAGTCAAGGGAAGGAATATCAAAGCCCACCACCTTCTCCTCTTCGTAGAGGTCCTCAGTATCGTGCCAGCCCCCCAGCAGAAAGCATGAGCGTTTATAGGTCACAGTCCGGTTCCCCGGTTCGTTACCAGCAGGAACCTAGTGGAGTCAGCCAGCTCCCCGGTAGACCAAAGTCTCCGTTATCCAAGATGACGCAGAGGTCTTTCCAGATGCCCCAGCTCCCCGTGGCCGTGCCGCAGCAGGGGCTGAGGCTGCAGCCAGCCAAGGCGCAGATCGTGAGGAGCAACCAGCCCAGCTCAGCCGTCCATTCGAGTACTGTAATCCCAACCGGTGCTTACAGCCAGGTTGCCCACTCGATGGCCAGCAAGTACCAGTCAGCGTCAGGGGAAATGGGGGTTAGCCAGAGCAGGTTGGTCTACCAGGGCTCCATCGGTGGCATCGTAGGTGACAGCAGACCAGTGCAGCACGTTCAGGCGAGCCTCAGTGCGGGAGCGATCTGTCAGCATGGAGGGCTGGCTAAAGAAGACCTTCCGCAGAGACCATCCTCGGCGTACAGGGGGGGTATGAGATACAGCCAGACACCTCAGATCGGGCGCAGCCAGTCTGCTTCCTACTATCCGGTGTGTCACTCGAAGCTTGACTTGGAACGTTCTTCCCTCCCCGCCAGCCAGCTGGGCTCTCCAGATGTGTCTCATCTCATAAGAAGGCCCATCACAGTTAATCCCAGCGAAATCAAGCCTCACCCGCCGACTCCAAGGCCCCTGCTCCACTCTCAGAGCGTCGGCCTCCGCTTCTCTCCTTCCAGCAATAGCATCTCCTCCACCTCCAACCTGACTCCCAACTTCCGCCCTTCTGCTTCGATTCAGCAAATGGAGATTCCTCTCAAACCAGCTTACGACAGATCGTGCGATGAACTTTCTCCGGTCTCTCCCACGCAGGGGGGTTACCCCAGCGAGCCAGCCCGTTCCCGGACCACACCGTTCATGGGAATCATAGATAAAACCGCTCGGACTCAGCAGTACCCCCATCTCCATCAGCAGAACCGGACCTGGGCTGTGTCGTCAGTGGACACTGTCATTAGTCCTACGTCTCCTGGCAATCTCCCCCAGCCAGAATCATTTAGCCCGCCTTCTTCAATCAGCAACATTGCCTTTTATAACAAAACCAACAATGCACAGAATGGCCATTTGCTAGAGGAAGACTATTACAGCCCCCATGGGATGCTGGCCAATGGGTCCCGGGGAGACCTCCTGGAGAGAGTCACCCAAGCCTCCTCGTATCCCGACGTCAAGGTGGCAAGGACACTGCCTGTGGCACAGGCCTACCAGGACAACCTGTACAGGCAGCTCTCCAGGGACTCCAGGCAAGGGCAGACATCCCCAATCAAACCAAAGAGACCATTTGTGGAGTCTAATGTGTAAAAGACGCTTGTTGGAGTAAGACCCTCATGTTTTCAGCACACACTTCCAAGCTTGATTTCCATGCATATTATTATTTTTATTTCTCTTTGGTAGCTACATGACCAAGTTTCTCCGGTACTTTGTGTGGTGGTCAGACAGCCATGCACGTGCTCCAGCCCTTTCGTTCCCCAGCTGACCGTGAAGCCAACATCAGCAGAGCCAGTATCGTTTGCCCAATTCCAGCTAAGTTCCCAACCAGGATATCTTAGTACGTGGTGCGGGGTGGTCCAGAAATATCCCCTACGCAGCAGGAGGTAACCAGCTCTTTTTCAAGAGACAATCGCGTTCAATTTAGATTGGTTTCTTTTGTCTCGATGAGCTCTTACTCAATTCTGATGGGAATTCCTAGCGGGAGCAGAGCAGGGATCACAGGAGCCTTTCCCAAGGCTGCATCCGCAGGTCCCCGTGCCAGCCGGGTCGTTCGGCTCTTTGCCCCCAAAGAGCAAATTACCCGCAGCGAGCAAGGGCACGATGTGTTTTAATACCAAGTAGCTATGCACAATAACAACCCTGCTTCATCTGGTTTATAGCGTTTTAATCCGAATTGGATTCCGTCATTATTTAATCACGTCATCGGCCAGAAGGGGTGGGGATCGCACGATGCTTTGCTACTTTGCAAGCTACCTGCTGGTGCCCCGACACTGGTTTGCTCTGGGGCATTTTACAAGCATTGAGAGATAAAAGTTGGCCCTTCGTTTCCATTTTAATCAGCCAAGGGAATTGGCCAGAAACCTCTTGGGCGTGAACTGGGATCGCAACAACTTCTTCTGCACACTGTTAGCAGACAACTGCACCTCACACACAGCACCGCGTTTTCACCGGGACGGTTTAATGTCGGGGCTTTCCTTTGGTGGGTTTTTTTACTTGCAAGGAAAAAAAAAAAATCTGACTTAGAAAATGGTATTCAGGGAGGAAAAATGCAATTTTAAGTTTTTTTTAAATTTTTTTATGATGAGGATGCATACTGTGGCACAATGGTTCCCGAGAGAGGAGGGGTCCTTCAGCAAACCCAGCGCTGCAGCATCCCTGCCCTCCGGCTCGCTCCCGCCCGGGGAGCCGGTGCCGTAGCGAGGGCTGCACTCCTCTAAGATCTGTTTCCGAAATCTTGGAAAGCGATTGCCGTGTTCCGTACCTGTAAGTGGTAGAGACCATGTTGTGCTTTTTAAGGAGCTGTAGTTAAGAGAGAGATATTTATAATTTATTTATGCGGTCTGCTTCAGGACATTTTTTGGTTTGGGTTGGTTTTTCTAATTTTTTTTTTTTTAAATCAAATGCAAATCACATCAAGACAGTATGAAAAGCAGAGGACGGTTCCAAAATCCTTTTTTATAGGATTTTCAATAATATTTCAGTTATTCTCTGATATTTTTTTCGGGGGTGGAGGGACTTTCTTTACAGATTCATTTATTACTGGTGGGTTTGTAATCTGCCTTTTCGGTTACTGAGAGCGAAGGGTGGGACGATCGGGGGGGAGAGCGATAACCCTGTAGCTTGTTTTAAAGCAAAATAGTGCCTGTTGCCCATGCTGAACCTCACCCATATAAA